AATCAACCATTCTCCATCTATTCCACTTAGAGGTGATATTCCCAAGCTTGTTTGGTCCGGAAAATATGTATCCTATGGGCACTTGTATGTCTTTGGGTGCAGAGCTTATGTGCACATCCCTAGAGATGAGAGGTCGAAGTGCGATAGCAAATCGAGATAGTGCATATTCCTAGGTTATCCAAAAGAAGAGTTTGACTATAAATTGTGGGATCTAATCGAGAAGAAAGTTGTTAGAAGCAGGGATGTTATCCTAAAAGATCAGACTATCAAAGACATTGAGAAGCCACAGAAGCTGAAGCCATTAGTCAGTCATCAAGAAGATCCAAATCCAGTTCTTCCTCTTGTAGAGAATGATGATCATAGGGAACATGTGAAGGCAAATCATATAATTGAAGAAGATCCACCAGCAGCTAAACCACAATTAAGAAGATCTAATAGACAATGACAACCTTCATCTAGATACTCACCAGACAAGTATGTGATGCTCACCAGACGGCAACAACCCTTAGCTAAATACACACCAGATGAGTATGTGATGTTCACAGATGGAAGTGAGCTAGAGTCATATCGGGAGGAGATCAAAGATATATACAGGGATGAGTGATCAAAAGCCATGTAGGACGAGACGAGTTCCTTGCATAAGGACCACACTTATAATTTGGTCAAATTGCCAAAAGGAAGGAAAGCACTCAAAACAAGTGGGTGTATAAGCTGAAGTCTGATGAAAATAACTCACAACCATAGTATGCACGTCTGGTCATGAAGGGTTTCAGTTAGAATAAGGGGATAGACTTTTACAGAAATATTTTTTCCAGTTGTGAAAATGTCCTCGATCCAAGTTGTTCTTGGCTTGACAGTAAGCATGTGCCTAGAAGTTAAATAACTTGATATGAAGATTGCATTTCTATGTGGAGACCTAGAGGGGAAAATCTATATAGAGCAGCTTGAAGGCTTTCAGGCTAAGGGCAAAGAGCATATTGTGTGCAATATCTGTTAGGTTGGGGGTGGATACCAACCTCCGCCGGCGGAGGAGCTCCGTTGAGCTCCAGGATGGCGCAGGCAAAGCTCGAGCAGTTGAGCTCGAAATTGGCGAACGCGATGGTGGCTTTGGCGAACGCGACCCTCGGTGTTTTGGCGGCCCGACCCCCGCGTTCAGAGCTCCGACTCAGCGCCCCACGCTCGCGGTTTTGGCCTCCGACCATCGCGTCCGAGTTCGTGCGCTGGCGACAGGCTGTCGCCAGCCCATCCATCTCCCCTATAAAAGCAAACCCCAACCCTAGGGTTTCGGTGCTCCTCCTCCCCGACATTTTCTCTGGCGGCGATTCCTCTTTAACGCAGCAGCGTTCATCTCCTAAAATCTCAGCAGCAATTTTCCATTTAATCCCAGCTTTTCAACAGTGTTTTGAAAGGGGATTTAAGAAGAGAGAGAAAAGAGAAGAGGGGATTTTATTGTGGGTATTAACACTGTAGCTACAGTGTTCATTTGAGGAATCTCAGTTTAGAGATTTGCTCTTGATTTGTAATTTCTTGTTAGATTAATAAGAAATTGACTGTGTGGCTCCCGAGGACGTAGGTAGTTGCCGAACCTCGTAAATCTTGGTGTATTTTTTCTATACTGCGTTTCTGTTGCATTAGGGGTTTAGGCGTTAAATTCCCAACAATATCAAGAAAAGCTTGTATAGACTTAAGAAAGAACCCG